AGTAAATAATATAATATAAAATAAACAAAATAATATAAATTAAAATAAGTAAATGGGAATTTTACTGCAGAATTCTTAAATATGAGCAGATTTGTGGTGAGATCATCTCGAGTCGTCTTGTTCGCTGGAGACTGTTCTCTCCAAGTTCTTAATTATACGATTTAATGAGGCATTAGTGATGAACCCAAAAGCGCGATGAAATCGCCTCACGGACTCTGCAGCGTCGCCGACGTGGTGGACTCGGGGAAGCGCGTGAAACTCATGTGCTCCGTGTGGGAGAACGTGGAGGAGCCGCAGATCGAGGACCAGAGGCTGTCGGCCTTCGAGACCCTCTTCTCCCGGCAGGTCGTCCAGCCGATCGAGATCAAGAAGAAGGTGCACAACCCGGCGAAGGTGAGATCGCTTCCCCATTTGGACCTATTTATTTATTTATTTATTTATTTATTTATTTTTATTTATTTGTTTATTTATTCATTTTTATTTGTTTATTTATTTATTTTTATTTATTTGTTTATTTATTTATTTTTTTTTTCTCACGTGAGTGTGGTCAATTTCCAGGTGGCGAAGATCCTGGACCCGAAGCGATCTCAAAACGTGGCGATCCTCATCACTAGTCATCACATCGAGGGGTCAGACGTGGAGAATGCCCTTTACTCCTTCGACACCCCAGACATGAGCCTCGATCTGCTGAGGCAGATTGCCCTGTGTGTGAGTTATCGAATTTTCCTTCGGAGCCACGACGTCTCTCCATGTCTTGCAAAATGCATATTTTGCACGGGAAAAAATTTTGCACAAGGCAAATTTTGCACGATGCGAATTTTGCAATAGCGTGGATCCAAGGAGGAAGTGGAGGCCATCGAGGCTCACGTCCTGGGGAACCCGGACCTACCGCTCGACAAGGCGGAGCAGTTCCTCTGGGAGCTGAGTCGGATCCCCCACCTGGCCGAGCGGATCGACTGCATCATCGCGCAGACGACGTTCCACGAGCGCATCGCGGCGCTCGAGGGGCAGCTCAACAACCTCAAGGACGTCTCAGACGTCGGTCCATCGTCATCATCGGAATGCGTCCGTGTCGCGATGGGTTTTATATATACATATATATATATATATATATATTTTTTTTTTTTTCAGGAGCTGTGCACCAAAGAGAGCGTGAAGAGGGTCCTGGGACTCATCCTCGCGCTCGGGAACTACATGAACGGGGGGAACCACATGCGAGGGCAGGCCGACGGCTTCGGCCTCGGCATCCTCCCGAAACTGAAGGACGTGAAGAGCAACGCCGATCCCTCCATGACTCTCCTCAACTTCGTCGTTTCGTCTTACATCGATGTGAGTCTGTGACTTTTTTTTTTGTATCGGGTGGGTTGAGGGCCACCGGTGTCTTTGCGGGTCGCGTTTCTGGCAGTGCGCACTGCGGTTTGATTCATGGTTCCCGTTTATGCATCGACTGGATGCATTTGGGGTCATTCCACGCTACAAAAAATGGCCTCCTTCGATTTTGATGAAATTTGGACCAAAGCTTTGCACCGTTGAGAAAGTGAAAAATCCGAAAAGCTTTTCTCCTCAGCCCCTTAGATCTCAAGATAAGAGGCTCTTAAGATAATGCGTGCTTTGTTGCATTTTAGCACCTCTGTCCCTAAATACGCTCATAACCTCTCTTCTCTTCAAGGTCGACAGATGCATTATAGCTCTTCTGAAAGGTCTCTTCCTGCCCTTCCCGGTAACATTAGATTTGTTAGAAACATTTCAAGAAATAAGACGAAGCGATAAAATCAAAACTCAAACTTATGACGTCATCG